TTAAATAGCAAAATACATTCAATAATTCATAGTTCCTCAGTGGTCAGACAGCAAATTCACAATAAATACCCAACTCACTTCGACTTCCTTTGTGGGAACATTTCTGAGTCCAACACCGCAGAGAAGAGCTCCCTGTTAGAATGGACTCAAAGCTCTGTTAGCAAAATTAGCTTAAACACTATGCAGGAATTCTCCTTGCATCCAGCCCTGCCCCTATCAGGCTGCTGTTGCTATCGATCCCCATTAATGATTTGGTGATTAAGGAGGATAAATTGCCTATGAATGTGAGGCAGTCAGAAGTGCCCCTGGGAGCACAACTGAATATTTTCTCTCAAATGTTGTGTGCTGGCTCAGTTTTTCAACCCAATGCACACTACCACGTTAGTCCTCACTACCACACCTGGCATGCCCTATTGCCAGCACCTTGACCCACCTGACTCTGTTCCCAGAGCTTTATGGTCTTTGTTATTTTTTTTCCAACTTGTTCCAAGGTCCATCCCTTTTATGACCCACTTTCTAGAACTCAGTGAATCCCCAGTTAATGCATCAGCCTGTACAAGCACATAATTGCCACAATCACCAGTCTCTGGGTTCCCTGTAGTGTGTGCGGGAGAATCTTCATACAGAACCAATTGGTAGGTTTTGCCTTGGGTATCAGGCTGGAAAGTCACGTAACAAATGAAATGATGGGACCTCTCACTCCTGTTTCAGACACCTCCCTATGAGAGTTCTCAGTGTACACTGAGAGAAGGTACTTAAGAAACTGTCTTAAATGTTGGCACTGGATGGTATCTGCAGGGAATGCTATCCAAAGGCATACAGTTCCCCAAAAGCATGGGTGTATCAATCAAATAGAAAAGCTTCTGAGTCCCTCTCCATGAGAGAAGAAAGAGTTTGCTTCTGGGAGAACATCAAAGAGAAGAGTTTGGAGGGATGGGGAGACTACTGCGGTGGTGGGGAGGAGATGAGGAAGAGGCAGTGAGGTGAGAAAGACTGAGAGTAGATTCAAGGAGGAGCCAGTGGTTTTGAGGAGGTGAAACCCTGCTAGGTTACAATGCTATGGTCTTGTGAGTATTACATAAACCCCTGATTCTCTAATGCGGTTCCACCTGTGATCATCAGCTTAGCTGGGAACTAGTGAGACATGCAAACTCTGAAGCAAGGTCCCCGGTATACTTAGTCTGTGGGAGGGAGTTCTGATGTGACTCTAGGGTTGAGGACCCCCGAGAAGACCCCTTCCTTCTGCCTCTTTTCCGCATATGGAGCTGCAACCAAAATCTGGAGGATGCCTGTGGCTTGTGTGACCACCTTTAATGTTGATTCTGAATCTGGGAAAGGGCTGAGTTTTCCAGAAGATGGGTGGCAGAAATTTTGGGGTCATAGATGATCAGGAAGGTAGAAACCCTCCAGGAATTTTGTAGAACATTCAGGGTTCCACAGGTCAATCAAGGGATTAAGGCTTCTGTGGCCAATTCCCTGCATTCAGGAAGACAGGAGACCCCCTGTTACACTTCTGTGACGAGCTCACCTTCTACTTTCCTAATGACTAGGTGTCTGTTCCATCCTCACTCTCTCAAAACATGACTTTGTTCTCCTCCCATGAAGGGAGTAAAAATTGGCTACTACTGTGCATCCCTTCACAGAATTTTGAAAATGTTTACTCTCTTCTGTCCTTTGCAACTTTCTCAGTGCAGTGTGCCTAGGCTACCTCTCTTAGACCCTTCACCTGGTTCCCTCATCCTGCCCAGGCTGATTTGCCTCTAGAGCCAGTGTTTTCCACCTATGGCTTGAGGAATCACCCAAGAATCTTTGGAAAAAACCTTAAGCCCAGGATGTCTTTAGAGTAACCACAATAGGCTATCTGCACAGGGACTGAGGCATGCTTGCATGCGTGTGTGCATGTGTGTGTGCATGTGTGCTGGTGTAGATATATGCGAAGGTGCCAACAGATACTAGAGGCATTAGTTTCTCCTGGAACTGGTTTTAAAGGTGGCTTTGAAACTGCTATAAGTGGGTGTTTAGAACTGGAGTCTGGTCTTCTGCAAGAGCAGTATGTACTCTTAATAGCTGAGCCATTCCCCTGCCAATCACCCCAATGTCTTAAATAAGATGCTAGTACCCATTGTCTTTGACTCTAATTTTATGCTGTAGTCCATCTCCCTGGATTCTGCCCCATTTCTTCAGTGGCTTCATCCCCTCCAAGGTCATAGTGCTATCATATTTCCACAAAGAACAACTCCCTTCTTTTCTTCACCAATTCAACTCTGTAGCAATACTCACCAGTTAGCAGCAGTACTCTTGGATCCAAAGGGGTACTTGTCTCTTTGCTCTTTTTAATTTCCTAAGACTACTGACCTTACTGACCTTACTGACCCAGTCTACTTTGTTTATGTTTTTGTCTGCTCTTTCTCTTGATGACATGATATTTTCAAGGCTACCTCTGCCATATTGTCTAAGTTCTGTATCCAATTATTCTAGTGTTTACTCAATGTCTTCAGCTGGTTATCTTATGGATACCACTGTATTATCATTTCTCAATGTCTTCACATTATCCCTTCCACCTCTCTAGCCTTCCCAGTTCTGAAGATGTAACTATCATCAACCCAGTTGACCAAACTAGACATCTAGTTATCTCTCCTTAATTCATCTTTCTATTTCTCCGTTGATCTAACTCCTCTGCAACCAATGTTCTAAGTCCAAACTGATCTCTCATCCATTTCCTTTTTCTCATCTCCACTGCCATCACAACAGTTAAATCTTTGATCATCTTTGTCTTGAACCGCAGCTTTCAAATAGGTTTCTCTGGTTTTAGTCTCCTTTCCTTCAATCCTTTCCCTGCACAAAGATTCAAGGGGAGGTTCCTGTGTTATAAGAGGGTATTTAGGGCACCAGGCACATTGTCACTAAGCAACATTCTGAAAGGAAGTACCTGGAAGCTGTTTACCATGCATCCAAGAGCAGACCAAGAGAGCAATGAAGCAGTTAAAGATTACGAGGTGTTTGCCTCCTAGGTCGCTCATTTGGAAAATCACTGTCAGGCAAAACAAGCAACACATTTTTTTTTCTCAAGGGGAGTGACCACATAGTACATGGATGAGATAATCTGTAAAGCTGTGACAAATTAAACGTTGGGTAAATCATGTCATTCCTCAAACATCCTGGGTAATTACACGAAGCCTATGACTATCTTTTGTCAGTGCAAAGAAAATCAGTTACAACCTCCTGATTAATTGTGTAAATGTAGACTTTAGAAAATATCAATTTCTTGGTCCTCTACATATTGTTCAGTCTCATTTTCCTTTACTAACTTCTTTAGTGGACTCCTAGATGCTGTTATTCCCATATCGTCTTTCTTTCCTCCCTTCTCTATGTGTCTTCTCTAGGTCTAGATAACTCTCAAGTGCACTCTGATTCTCTACTTCGGACCCGCACTCTCGCAGGTCATTTCTGCCATCACTTCCAATTCACTTTCAGCCTCTGAGTTGGTACCTCTGTTCCGCATCTCTGCAAATAGCACGCTATGTCTCAGCTGCAAAATGCTTTATATATTATTGATGAGGTTTCTATAAACGGGACTCTATCTCTGAGCGACACATGGCCCAAGTGATAGCTCTTGCTCACATCAACCTTGAACATGGGTCATATACACATATGAGTGTTGAGCAAGCAATGACAAGAGCTGGTTGGTGAGAATGCAGGGTCATCTAGGCTCCATGTGCCAAGATCACCTGAAGAATTAAGTGGAAGGACAGAGATCTAGGCATTTGTTAAACAGGAGTAGAAAACATTGCTACCCCATTGTTGTCTACATCTACATCAGAAAATCCAGATCCATGCAACTTCCTCAAAACAAGGGTTATGCAAAATAATAAAAAAACTAGCCCGGACTTATGTTTGAAAGATGTTTGGGGAGTGATAAATTCAACTCCAGTAGGCTGTTATGAGCAGGCTCTTGCTCTCAGTTCTTAGATCTCAAGCTGCTTCATTGCCACTGACCTAACAACAGCTGCCCCTCTCAGTCCAACATTGCATATGGAAGCAGCTGGGAGGCATGAAATGGCAAAAATGAGAAAAGGAGAAAATCCTAGGAGATTTGAGGCTTTAGATTGACTTGCTAAAACACTCATTGAACCCAACCAAATAATCTAAACATAACTAGGTTAAACTTCCACAGCATAAGAAAATAATTCAAAATAACCTTAGAGGTTACATAATACTACGTTAAAAATATCATTACCTATCTGTATTTGCAGGCCAATGGTTTGTAAAATATAGACCTATAATGAGAATAAATAACTATATGCAATCCTTTAAATTTTCTGTTCCTGAATCAGGGTGATGAAGTTAGTGCTGCAATTTACATAGTTGACTTGGTTGTGTTTTGTTTTTTAAGTAGAGTCTTGTGTTCTATTAATTTTGAAAGTTGAGTTTAATAAGTCATTTTTGCATATAGAACAAATAATATACTGATATGACACCACAAGTCCATAATGAGCTCACTATGTAGCTTTAATCCAGCTTCAATTCCTGAAATAAGTGCTAGCAACATTCATTTCCCTTATACTCAGGGTGAATCGTGTATCCTCACGTTCAATCTTGAGGAAAGAGTGTATGTCAGGGTGGTGATCAGTCCAACTTCCTTGGGTTTAGAACCATTAGGAGACATTTCCAGAGAGGTTTAACTGAGGCCAGAAAGCCCCAGCCTAGATGTGGTGTCACCATCCCATGGGGGAGATCCAAGACTGAATAAAATGGAGGAAAAAGCCCTAGCTGTGCACATACTGTGACTGCCCGCTGCACCTCCGCCACGGTGAACTTTGCTCTCAGGCAATGGACCAGAATAAATCCTTCCTCCTCGAAGTCGCTTCTCGTCATGTTTGGTGTTGTGCCACCAAAAGTAACTAACAGAGTCAGAAAGGGACGCATCCTGTGGAGTAACCCTTTTACTCCTAAAGGAGATGCTTTGGGGTTGTGGGAGCATTTAAAGATGAGCTCCTTACCTTCACACCAAGGATTGAAGAGAATGTATGTGTCTGTTTCGGGGTTTCTACGGGTACGCAGGATGCCATAGGGAGTCCAGACGGCAACATACATGCGGAATTTTCCCACAATGCATTCGGGGGAAGACTGGATGGAAAGTCGCACAGACCGGTCCTCGTTCATGATAACCTTGGCCCCCCACTTTCCGCTTTGCAGCTCCGACACTACAGGCACTGGGATGTAAGTGCCCTTGTTCTCCTGAGGGTAGCGACCTACGAGAAAGAAGAATAGAAGATGAAAAGATTTCTCAGATCTCTTGTTCCAACTCTGTAATTTCGGGCCTGAAGGAGGAAAACGCTGTTTTAGAGTGGGTATGAATTTCTCTTCTGCTGCCAAAACCAGGGATACTAGCTGATTCTCCCAATTTCTTCAGGGCTCAGATTTGTCATGACTACTAAAAAATTTACAAAGAACACTGCTTGGGAAGATTTTCTTTGTTGGCTGATGTTCAGCTTGTTTTCTATGGCTGATACCATAACAGCACAGACTGAGTGATTTACCTACAAAGAAATGAGGTTTCTTTGGGCCACACCAATCCTGATGCAGCTCCGAGAGTCACAAGGATGCTTTATCTCATGTTATGAAGTCACTAGGTTTAATCTTAAGGCTAGGCCTTAATGACCCTATCTAATCCTGACGACTCCCAAAGGCTCCCATACTCAGATTAGGTTTCAAATCTTGTAATACCTCATAATGGAGATTAAATTTTAACATGTGTTAGGGAGGAGACAAACTATATTCCAACCGCACTGTTAGACAATGAATTCAGTCATGACACAGAAACATCAATTTGAATGTGAAACACAGCTTATACAGAACCTTGTGATTATCAGAACCTGAAACTTTATTGTTAAAAATTATAATAGTTTTTAATTAAAAAAACTTTAAGATGGCAGCACTATAAGTATACAACATTGTTTTTTTGAGTCAGAGGCTAATATTTTTCATTTATTCTACATTTGCTTGTACTGCTATCACCAGTAATGAGCTACATTTCTAGGTTATTAAGATGCAGCCTTTTTTACATTCAACCTAAACATGTGGTTTTTTTTTTTTTTTATCAGTCCACTGGTGCCTGAGATTTACGCCACAGGCTAGGATTCAGAATTGAAGTTTTTTGTGAAATGAGTTGAGTTTAAATCTTGGCTCTGCTGCTTGTCACCCTGGTGACCTTGAGTCTTACAGATTCTAATTCTTTTGTCCTTATCTTCATCTGGAAGTGGGGAAAATAGTGGCACACTAGTGAGTTCTCAGGAAGACAGAATAAGATATTGCGTTGAAATGCTTACGCTGAGTGGCATCCATCTGCTGTCTGTTTGTTTGTTGTAGGGTCTCACTAAGACTCGAATATTGGCCTTGAACTTAATCTATGGTCCAGGATAGCCTTGAACTTGCAAACTGTCCTGCCTTAGTCCCTCTTGAGTAACTAGGATTACAGGTTTGTTCCACCAGGCCCAGACCTATGCAAAATCCTTTGTGCATAATTTATCATGTATAACAAATACCTTAAAAACTTAAGCTGTCATTTTAACTGAAGATTAAACAGTAGGTCATTTTGTAATATTTCCTGGCTCATCATAGTTTATGCATAAGCTATCTCAAGGCACATGCTATTTTTTCCTTATTACTCCCATTTTGGGTCAAATTCTTATTACATGGTCTTTAACCTCAAAACTAAATTTCCTCCGACTTTCTAAGCTATAAATAGAAAGTTAACTTCACATAATTCTTAAACTCCTTGGCTTATAATTTAATTTGCTGTGTAATTTGCAAGAAAGATCAAATTCATAACTGTTTTTAAATAGAACAAATCTTTTTTCTCTTTTTTCTTGTAAGAAGATACAAATCTGATAAGTCTGTAAATTATTTGAATTGCAAGCAAATAGAAGTCTTCCAGAGCAAAGTGTATTCATGTTGTTTGTTGTACATAGAGCATATGAAAAATTACAAAAACAGAGCTAACCTCAGCTTCTCTAGTGACCAAGATCCAAACAGGGTTCTTTAATAGGAATATATCAGAACATTCAAGAGGAAGTTGTTTCCTAGGTTATTGTTGTGCAGTTATATAAGGTTGCTTAATTTTAATGAAAATAATGATTTGTATAGGAAGTATTATACTAGGGAGAGAGATTAGGATTGTGGTGCTTTTCTGTGTGCCTAGAGATTCAGTTAATCACAATTCAGAACAAGTATCACATAAACTGATCATAATCCAATAAAGACTCAGACATGGTTCTTTGCCAAGAAGTCACAATCTGAACATTGTAAATTTTGTATAAACATGAGATACTCTTGGGGATTGACTGGCTCTGCCTCCAAGGAGTTTCTGGATTAATCCACCCTCAGGAGCATGTTTATTCTGAGTAACCTTTGTCTGTTTTCACTTGCTTGCCCCTAGTCTTCCTTGTGCATGCTATGACTGTGTGGTGAAGTGCCCCTCCTCCCCATAGGCCTTGCTTTTCTCCAGAGACCCTCACTCTCTTTCGACATAATGTAAAAATAAAGACAGTCTTTTAAGGTAAATGTGATCTCTAATTCAATTGCTATAGTGCTTCCAGAAACTGGTGCCTCCAAATGTCTGTCTAGGTTTGAAAAGTATGACATTTCTAAAAGGCTTTGAGATCTAAGATCTATGAGAAAGATCTGCCAGGAAAGATGTGCCCACTTCTGCAGTAGTGGTGTGTCTCTCACGAGGGAAACCCACCGTTCTCTGATTAAATTTGAGACACATTCCCGGGGAGAGAATACATGTTTATGAGCTTGGTTGAACACTCATGGTGAGGGAAACCATGGGCTCTAGAGGGGAGCTGAGTATTGTTATAAAGCTAAATTCCTATAATGCCAAATTTCTCTTCTAAATATTTATGCTTTTACCCATAGATAATTGTTACTCTCAACCTTAATCGGAGAAGTCTCTCTTTTTAGTGAACACAGTGGTGAATGCAGATATTCGTGAACACGCACAGAAGGTGCTGAGACTACGTAGTAGATGCATGCTTCACCTCAGACAAGTCATTTACACCATCTCCTCTAAGGCTTGGGGACTATGGAAGAAGTGACAGAAAAATGTGAGAGCCAGAAAATAGGAGAAAGTCTTTGAAATGTCATGGGGAGGGGAAGATGAATTAGCTGTCATTACTGTACAGCAGCTATGGAAGCCTGCACAAGGCCCAGGCATCAATGAGCCCAGCCAAGCCAGGCATGGATGTTACTTAACTAGGTAGAAGTGGACATAAAGATTGGGCCACTATCATTCATTGTGAAGACAGTATTCATTGCTCTGTATCTTACTGCCTCTATGGAACAGGTGGAAGATGCTGCAAAGAACCAGGGAACATGGAAGAAGCAAAAGGAACAAGTTGCAAAACTGTAAAAATATGAGGGAAAAGACAAAGAGCCATTTGTAGTGGTGGACAACAGATGTGTGCATCAGAGGTGTGAACCAAAGGGATGAGAAGGCAGAGCTGGCAGAAGGGAAGGCTGGGAGGCTTGGGTTACACAGATCTGTTTTTTTTTTTTTAAAGTAAGTCTGGGCAGTGAAGGTTGAAGGGAGAAGGCTGAGCAGCCATGTTAACCCGGTAAGTCATGGGGCTTCAGATCAACATCCGAAAACAAATCGGGAACAGGCAGTCATTACATGAGGTCCAAAGGGAGGCAAAAACAACCCCCAATTTGCAGGTCTTTTTCTTTCCACTCAACAGAAATCTGGTTATTAATGTGAGACCTGGCATGTCAATAGGACCTCAGGGTCTTGTCAGCGGCTCCATTACACCATGTTTAATTCTGAGTGTAATGATTTCAGTGACAGCGCTGGGGAAGGATTTTCCATGATTGAATTGTGAGGGAGGAAGTGGTGGCAGAGTAGTATTTCATCTCGCTAAATAGCTTCTCAGCCTCAGGAGTTAGCATGTTCTGGAGATCACCATCAGACCAGGCTTGGAACACTCATCCATCAACACACACGGCTGCCACGCGGTTCTATACAGGTGATTCTCATGCATTTGTTTGCTAACAGTGCGTCTGGAGACATTTTTTCCGCAAATAGCACGATTTCATGTTAAAGGAGAATGAGAGCAAGGAAAATAGAAGCAATAAGCAGAGGTTCCCACAAACCGTCTTCTTTCTATTTTTAACAATGTAGTCGGTGCAGCTAGACTATTGAGCAGAATTCTGCAGGGGTTGTAATTATCAATCGTGTTCTTTCACACCCACTTAAAATTGGTGATATCTCCTCAAGGTATCTAAAATTGAGCATATGTTTACTTTAATTATTGTCTTTCCTTTGTACATTGTTATTTTGTTAGCATATATTCCTAGTACACAAGGCAGAAAAGAGCGATTTCATTACATTTTCACATGGTTCCTTGGATGCTTCAGCCGTATCCATCAATATATCCATCTATTGTCCTGTCTTGTCCCTCTCCCATCTCTCTCTTTCCTTCTAGCCCCAAATACTCTCCATTCTAATTTTATATATATTTTATATATAATTTACACTTTTTTTGGACAAATTTTCGTTGAGACCAGAAAACATCTATCAATCACAATCAATGCTTGGAATGAAATCAGTAACTCAGGACATACACATTTTTGCCACCCCTTTGGCATGTCACCATTAAGACTATTCTAGTATGCTAGATTTGATGAATGTAAATGCTTCGTCATGTGAGTCCTTTCCTAGCTACCAGAAAAGTTCAAGAACAATCCTACCTTCTTTGATATCCACTTAAATATCCATTTTTTCTATTAAACTAAACTATGACGTGATCTTACCACCTGTAGAAATCCCGTAGAATGCCTCATTGCTTCACACTAAGTATGGTTCCATAAATGTCACCGGGACTTTGCTGGATCACATCCTTGAAGAACGTTTTGGGGATTGCAGAAACTCTGAAATGTGGTGTCTGCCTCAAGCCAGCAATCCATTGCAGACAGAAGAAAGACAGATTTAAAGCTCCATCCCTTTCTCCTATGGGACCCGCTTTCCATTCATACACAAACACATTTTCTGCTGAGTTCTTCCTCTGCCTCCCTGCAGATCCCCTTCAAAAGTGCCTTATTTCAAGAGGGCGGTCTCTAAAAAAACTCAGGAATGAATCCTGTCGCCATTTAGCAAGGTGAGTTTCACAAAGCTAATTTATTTTCCCATCGAATTCATTGCTTTTTCCCTAGACATATCTTTCACATTTCAAGCAATCAATCTCCAAACCGG